GCGCCACCATGCCCAGCTAATTTTTTGTATTTTTAGTAGAGACGGGGTTTCACCATGTTGACCAGGATGGTCTCGATCTCTTGACCTCGTGATCCACCCGCCTCGGCCTCCCAAAGTGCTGGGATTACAGGCGTGAGCCACCGCGCCCGGCAATTCAAGTGATTCTTGTGCTTCACCCTCCCAAGTAGTTGTGATTACAGACACACACCACCACACCGGGATAATTTTTGTATTTTTAGTAGAGATGGGGTTTTACCACGTTGGCCAGGCTGGTCTCAAACTCTTGACGTCAGATAATCTGCCCACCTTGGCCTCCCAAAGTGCTGGGAGTACAGGTGTGAGCCACCATGCCCAGATAATATTTATATTTTTAAACACTTGCCACTGAAGTGCGCATCCAGCAAGCATGCGCGGAATGAATGGAAGGGTTGTTACACAGCCTCATTCCCTATCCCCATGCAGGATCTCAGGCCTTGCTCTGGCAGGTGAGGAAGCTGAGGTCCAGGGCTTGTCTAGTAAGAACAGAGGAGGCCATTCAGCAGACAGAGCGGTTTCCAGCTCAGCTCTGGAGTCAGGCTGCCTGGGCTCTGCGCGTGGCTCCGGGAAGAGTTGATAGAGTAATAGTTCCTACCTCAAAGAGCTGTTGGACTAAATTATAGAGAGTGTGTAAAGTGCTTAGCATGGTGCTGAGTAAATTACTCTGATTATTATAAGAATTCAGCAAATGTTAGCTGTCATCATCATTTGTCAAGAAGATCCCATTAGGAGGCTTGAGCCATCTATAGCTTATGTTTACAACTCTGCCCACATCCAGTATCTCCACTTTATTGTCTGACAATGGGATCAGAGTTCCCAGAAAATGGAAGAGCAAGCTCTCAGCTTCTGCCCAATAATGAAGCAGAAATAGCAGAGTCAGGGAGAAGCAAACAGGTCTCAGACAAAGAATGCCTGGTTGTGCAACTGCCTCAGCGTAAAAATAGATCTGGACTCTCAATGGCCATGCAGGAAGGAAGAAAACAAAAGCGCACATCTTCATGCTGCTGAGGGAAATTCTACATGTGGTGAAACCTCAAGTACAAGTATGGATCAAAGACAGTTTCAGGCTTTTGAGGCTTCAAAAAAATGTGACATATTCTAAGAAACAGGGTAAATCATTACAGCAATTTCTCAATAGATGTTAAATAATACTGAGACTGATAAAGTCACTGAATATGACGGGTTGTTTCATTCTGCAAACACATGCTGAATGCTACTACATGTGGGTTAGACACTGGACTAGAGAGGGCAACCAGACACACATTGCTGCCAGTATAAGCTCACTTATATCCTAGTGGGGAGAGATGAATGTAAACAGCTACAGTAGGAAAGCTCTGAGTCAGACGGTGATGAATGTGATGGAGAAAGAGAAGTCAGGGCCTCTAGCCTCAACTTCCAGTTGAAGAACTACGGGAACTACGATAGAAGAACGAACTAAATGACACCATCAGGACACAACCAGATAAATCCAGCATGTAAAATGTCAGTAAGAAAACTGACTCGAATGGGCACGGTGGCTCATGCCTGTAACCTCAGTACTTTGGGAAGCAGAAGTGGAGGGATCATTTGAGGTCAGGAGTTCAAGACCAGCCTGGCCAACATGGTGAAACCCTGTCTCTACCAAAAATACAAAAATTAGCCACAGGCCTATAATCCCAGCTACTTGGGTGGCTGAGGCAGGAGAATCACTGGAACCTGGAAGGCAGAGGTTTCAGTAAGCCGAGATCGCGACACTGCACTCCAGCCTGGGCAATAGAGCAAGACCCAGTCTCAAAACAAACAAACAAACAAAAAACCCTGTAATAGAAACAAATACTTGGCCAGGCTCCACAATCCTTTCCCTGCACCCTGCTGCTGTAACCTCTATAGCAGTGGCCATGCAGATATCCCCTAGACAGATTGGAGAATTCTCTGGAGAAATGAGATGGTCTCTTCAGTGAGATCTAGAGATTCTGATATTGAATGTACCCAGTAAAAAAATCCTGCTTGCTCCAGTCACCACAGAGTGAAGGCCATAGATAAGCCCCATCCATGCACATTTTGCTTCCAATGGCCTCTGCTTAATGCCTCATTCTTAAATATGAACAGCCAAAGATCAAACATTTGAGGAACACTTCCAACAATATACACACACACAAAAAGGAGGGGTGGAGAAAGCAGGAGAGGGAAACTCAGGGAAAACAATAAGAAAAGTAGAAGAAAACTTGAAAACTGGAAAAGTCCTTGGAGAGCTAAGAGAACAGGCTCATGAAACAAGAACAGAAATACTATATATAAGAAAAGAAGCAATCAATGAACAAGAAAGTTAAAATGTAAAATTTCAACAGAAAGGATAGGAAGATACACTTAATAAAGTTGAAAGTGGATCTCATGAAAAAAGAGATGAGATTGGTGGTTACTGGAGGCCAGGAAGGATGGAGGAAATAAACACATGTTAATTAATGAGTAGAAATATACAGTTAGATAGAAGAAATGGGACCTAGTGTCTATAGATCTGTAGGGTGACTGTAGTTAACAATAATCTATTGTACGTTTCAAAATTGCTAGAAGAGAATGATTCAAATATTCCTGGCATAAAGAAAAGATAAATATTTAAGATGATGGATATTCCAATTGCCCTAATTTGATCTTTACACATTATAGGAATGTATCGAAATATTACATGTACCCCCAAAATATGTACATCTATTAAATATCAATTGTTTTGAAGGTGATGAAATTGCCCAGAGAGTAGAACAAGAAGAGGAAGACAAAAGGAGAAAAAAAGATAACAGCTGTAATTCAGGGTCCAAGATCCTCTAGTAAAGCCAGAAAAAAAATGGGATGAGGATGCAGGTTGAGTTAGGGAGCAGTAGCAAACAGGTAATTTATATAGAGAAGAAAAACACTATCTATAGAATTAAAAGAACAAAAAAACTTACAAATAGCAATATTTGGAAGGTAGAAGATAGTAAGGGAATTAGCCAGGCATGGTGGCACATGGCTGTAATCTCAGCTACTCAGGAGTCTGAGGCATGAGAATCACTTGAACCAGGAGGTGGAGGTTGCAGTGAGCCAAGATCATGCCATTGCATTCCTGCATGGGTAACAGTGAGACTCTGTCTCAAAAAAAATTAAATTTAAAGGAAAAAAAGAAGAAGATAGTGAGGAAATGCCTTCAAAAATCTAAGGGAAAAATATTTCCAGCCTAGAATTCTATACCTAGCAAAACTATCAGTCAATTATGAACAAAGAATTGAGATTTTCAGACAGATAGCATCCCAAAGTTTACCTCCCATAGTTACTTTCTCTAGGAGCTATTAGATGATGCAGTTGACCAAAGTGAGAGAGTAAAACAAGAAACAGGAATATCTAAGATCCAGGCAGTAGGAGTGCAACACAGAAGAATAAAGAGAGGTGATATTGACATAGGAATTCTGCAGGACTACTTTCCCAAGGGCAAGCCTAGTTTCCCAGGACACAGGTCACAAGACCCCACTGATAAAACAGGATACAGTAGACCAGGTGGTGGCTGACACCTATAATCCCAGCACTTTCGGAGGCCAAGGCAGGCAGATCACTTGAGATCAGGAGTTTGGGACCAGGCTGGCCAACATGGTGAAACCCCATCTCTACTAAAAATACAAAAATTAGCTGGGTGTGGTGGCAGGCGCTTGTAATCCCAGCTACTTGAAGGCTGAGGCAGTAGAACTGCCTGAGCCTGGGAGGTGGAAATTGCAGTGAGCCGAGATTGTGCCACCACACTCCAGCCCAGGCCACAGAGCAAGACTGTCCAAAAGCAAGGACAGGGGAGGGGAGGGGAGGAGAGGGGAAGAGAGTCAGGAGGGAGGGAGGGAGGGAGGGAGGGAGGAAGGGAGGGAAAGAAGGAAGGAAGAAAGGAAGGAAGGAAGGAAGGAAGGAAGGAAGGGAGGGAGGGAGGGAGGGAGGGAGGGAGGGAGGAAGGAAGGGAGGGAAGGAGGGAGGGACGGAGGCAAGGAAGAAAGGGTTGGAGGGAGGGAGGGAGGGAAGGAAGGAAGGGAAGGGAAAAGAAATAGTGAAGGACATACCAATAAACACAATCACCATTACAGCATGTGGCTTCTTATGTTTTTTCCTCACTTCTTTCTTATCTCCTCTCCTCCTGCTTTTGTCACTTGGGAGCCCTTCATTCTTTCAGAAATTTTGTCTACTTCAGCCTGCACCTTCTTCCACAACCCTCAAAATCTACCCTTTATTCTGGTGCAATTCTCCTCCATCTCATACACCCCATCATGTGTCAGACTAAATCCTTCTAGTCCATCCTCCATCCTTTTCTCAAACATTTCCCTATGAGCTCCCCGGTCACAGCTTTTCTCTCAATATCCAAGTTTCCTCTGTCAACATGTTACCACGTCCTCTCTTTCTCCTCCATATGTTCCCACTTCTCTCTGAACCACATACTCCTCTGTTTCCTTTGATTCTGGCCTCTGCCTTCAGCCCCAGCAGCTCTTCTAACTCACTTCCACTCACTTTTATTTTAGGCTCAGACTCTCTCGTTTCCTCTCTCAACTTTACCCCTTCGGTGTCAATAATGTTCTGTCTGGCTCTAATTTCTCCTCTGACTTCCCCTGTCTGCCTCTATTTCCTTCTTTGGTGTCAACCCTTCATCTGCTTCATTCACTGGTACCTTCACCTATAACATCTTTCTTTTCCATAGAAACAGATTCGTCAGTAATGTCTCTCACTTCATGCAAGATGCCCCTCTCAACTCCCACTCCTTCCTCAGTCCCTTGCAGTTCATCACTCCCTTTGACACTTTCAAAAGGAATTTCCATCTCATCATCAGTAAATGCCATCACTCTTTCATCACCAGTAACTTCTGTCACTTTTTCAATGTTCTCATTTATGCTCCCCATTCTTGAACCCTTCAGCTTCTCCCCACTGGTCCCCAACTTCTCACTAGATCTCAGGTTCTCCGCACTTGACCCCAGCTTTTCTCCACTCAACCTCAGCTTCTCTCTGCTCGATCCCAGCTTCTCTCCACTGGTTCCCAGCTTCTCTCCACTCGATCTCAGGTTCTCACCACTCGATCTCAGCTTCTCTCCACTCGATCTCAGGTTCTCTCCACTCGATCTCAGCTTCTCTCCACTCGATCTCAGCTTCTCTCCACTCGATCTCAGGTTCTCTCCACTCGATCTCAGGTTCTCGCCACTCGATCTCAGCTTCTCGCCACTCGATCTCAGGTTCTCTCCACTCGATCTCAGCTTCTCTCCACTCGATCTCAGGTTCTCGCCACTCGATCTCAGCTTCTCTCCACTCGATCTCAGCTTCTCTCCACTCGATCTCAGGTTCTCTCCACTCGATCTCAGATTCTCTCTACTCGATCTCAGATTCTCTCCACTTGATCTCAGCTTTCTGCCACTGGACTTCAGGTTCACTCCACTGGACTCCCACTTCTCTTCCCTGGACACCAGCTTCTCATTACTAGACCTCAGCTTCTCTACATTTGATCTCTTTTTGTCCACACTCGGCCTCAGCTCCTTCTCATTCTGCCCCAGTTTATAGCCTCTGGATCCCAAGTCCTCTCCATTGGGCCCTACCTTCTCCCCAGCAGACCTCGACCTCTCTTCAAACCCAGACCTCCTCATAGGCCTTGCTGTCATCCCTGCACTCTTAGATTTAGCCCTTATTTTGTGTTTGACCTCTTGCTTTCCCCAAATCTCCCTTGGGTTGTCTTTCCCCAAATCTACTGAAGCTTGTGATGCACTTGCTCTACGGTGCAGCAGCTTCACATCCATCCTTTCCTGACTCGGGCCTGATTTCTCTTTCAAGGCCTCCTTTTCCACATCTTCCAGTCTCCAGTACTCAGACTCCAGCTTCGGCTTTTGAGTGTTTCTACTCAGAAGCTCCACTCTCTTCCCAATCACCATGAGGCCGTTCCAAGGTCCCCAGGTTTTCTCTCGCAGCATCGGCGCCCCCTCGTAGCCCTGCTCCAGTGGCGGCCGCCCGTGGAACCCGGCCTTGCCAGGGTCGCCCTGGCCCCGGGCCTTGAGGAGTCCCCTAGTCCTCTTAGGCTGCTTACCCCGCCGCTCCCTACGGCCCAAGGGCGGAAAACTTAACAGAACCCCCTTCTCTAAAGACATCGTCCCCTGCCCTCGCCCCTGGTCCACCACCCACATCCCCACCCCCGCTCCCCATTCCCCGTCCCCACCCTGCCACCCTCACCCCCTTCCCTGTCCCCTTCCTTTTCCCTTTCCCCTTCCCCTTCCCCTTCCCCTTCCCCTTCCCCTTCCCCACCGCCTGGTGGTAGCCAAACTGGGCGAGTGCGCACGCGCAGGCCGCACGTGGCGGTTGGAAGCAGCGGCCAGGTACAGCGGCACGAGGTTGGGATGTTAGTCAGCCGGAGACAGGAGGGAGACGCGGCACGCGGCCTCTGCGACCCTAGAGCTGTCTTGACCCCAGCTCCCACACTGTCGCCTATCACTGGCCTACGCTCCATGCCGCGTGCCCCTTAAAAGCTGAGGCCTGGGCCAGGAACCGCAGACATTCCAGCCAATGGTGTCACGTACGGTAGCCCCGGTATCCAATCGAAAGGCGCGGCTGAGGGAAACGCGTAGGAACCGCCCCCGACTCTACGCGACTCCCTGGACGGGCGGGGGAGAGCGTCTCAGTCAGCTGAGAGCATCCAGGCTCGGTCGATTCTTCGGGCGAGTTAGCGGGTCGACCTGCGGGAGCACGCGGGCAGTGGCCGGACGCTGAAGCCGTGTGTGCTGCAGCCCAGGAGAGCGATGGAGGTGCATCCGGAGGCTGGGAAGGAGGGCAAGGTAGAGAAAGGATGAAGACCCCCGCCAGCCTCCCCTCACTCTGTGAGAGCCCGTGATGCCCAATCAGGCGGTGGTGTGTGCGCGCGCGCCCACGTGTGTGCGCGCTCGTCTGTGTGTCTGTGGTCCGCCTGTGTCTGTTTCTGTGTGTGTATAGCCTGCATGTGACTGTGTGTGTGTATGTCGGTGTGTCTGCATATGACTGTGTGTGTCTGTGTGTGTGTATGTGTATGTCTCTGTGTGTCTGTGTGTTTCAGTGTGTGTATCTGTATCTGCGTGTCTCTGTGTGTCTGCATGTGCCTGTGTGTGTGCACATGTGCGTTTGTGTGTGTCTGTGTGCGCGCGTGTCTGTGTGTGCGCGTGTCTGTGTGTGCATGCGTCTGTGTGTCTGTCTCTGTGTGTCTGTGCATGTCGTGTGTCTATGGTCTGCATGTATCTGTGTGTGTGTGTCTGCGTGTATAGTCTGCATGTGTGTGTGCACATGAGAGTCTCTCTGTGTGTACGTGTGTGTATCTCTGTATCTGTGTATGGTCTGCATGTCTGTGTCTGTGTCTGTGTGTGTGTCTCTGTGCGTGTGTGTCTGTGTGTGATGGTCTGCATGTGTCTTTGCCTATGTGTGTGGGTATGTGTATGTCTGTGTGTCTGCATGTGTCTGCGTGTGTCTCTGTGTGTCTGTGTGTGTACATGTCTCTGTGTGTCTCTGTGTCTCTGTATATCTGTGTCTGTGTGTCTGTGTGCATGTGTGTGTGTCTGTGTACCCGTATTTGATCTGTGTATGTCTTTGTGTGTGTCTGTTTGTCTGTGCGTCTGTGTATCTGTGTGCGTTTCTGTGTGTCTGTGTGTGCATGTGTCTGTGTGTGTTTCTATGTGTGTCTGTGTGTGTGGATGTCAGTGTTTGTCTCGTGTGTCTGGATGTGTGTATGTGTGCCCATATGTCTCTGTGTGTATGTGTGTGTCTGCACAAGTGAGAGAAGGGAGACTTGAGCAAGGGGGTGGGAAGCCTCTGTGGCACCTGCGTGGGGATTGACGAGGATGCCAAGGGAGGCAGTGTTTTGCCTTTGTCCTGACAAATGGAAAGGGACCCGTCACTGTCACTCTTACCCTCCTCAGAACCAACTCACGCTGGCTTGATGGGGGTAGGGGGTGAATGGGAGAGGAGGGCTGGATGTTAGGGATTGAGCAGAGGCTGGCGTGAGGGAATCCTGTTCAGCACTAATGGCTTCACTTGTGTTCTGAGTTCATATAATCATAAGATCATTTCTTCCTTTGGACTTCATTCAGCAAGGAGTTGTCAAGCATCCACGTTGTGCCAAGGATAGTTACAGCATGGAGAGGTGCCCCCTTTTGGGAGTTGGAGGCATATGCCTAGTGGGCTGTGGCTGAGGATGAGGACGAAGCAGTTGTGGTCCATCTTTGAGGCCTCAGCCCCCTCAAGCAGCTGCCAAGCAGTGTAGGTCAGAGGAGAGATACTAAGGCAGCAAGAAGGAGGCTGGGGACTAGGGGACCTGCCGTGCCAGTGAGCCAGACTGTATGTGTTTGGGGTCTGGGGCAAGTGGGAGAGCCTGCGTTGGTAGTGTCAGAGAAGCCAAGAAATCAGGAGTGGGGTTCAAGTGGTTTAGAGGAACAAGAGGGACTGAGAGACACAAAGCTGGAACAGAATATGTCTGCTTCAATGTTTATCTATGTTCATCTTCATGGTTAAAGTAGTTAACATATATAAAATGCTTAGGGCATATATATGAAATGGTTAGAGCGGTGCCTAGCATGTTGTAAAGGCCAACATAAGAGTTAACTATTATGTTATTATTATTGTAGTATTATTGCTGTATGTTCTGAGGGTGTGTTGAGCTATTGAACAGATGGATGCACCACCCAGCCTTTGCAGGAGCCATAATCTCCGGAAGTTCACTACCAATACTTATCCTCTAGGTTAAGATTGCCTTCTCTAAGATCCTCCTTTAAATATAGAGACAAAAAAGAATATATAAGTAAAAATGTAATAAAGGAGAAAATGAAATAATATAAAATACTGGCCAGGTGCAGTGGCTGAAGCCTGTAATCACAGCACTCTAGGAGGCCAAAGCAGGCGGATGACTTGAGGTCAAAAGTTCAAGACCAGACTGGTCAGCATGGTGAAAACCCATCTCTACTAAAAATACAAAAAATTAGCCAGGCATGGTGGCACACACCTATAATCCCAGTTACTTGGAAGGCTGAGACTGGAGAATCACTTAAACTCAGGAGGCAAAGGTTGTAGTGAGCTGAGATCGCACCATTGAACTCCATCCTGGACAACAGAGCAAAACTCTATCTCAAAAATAAATAAACCCAAAGGATTATAAATAGTTCTACTATAAAGACACATGCACACATATGTTTATTGCAGCACTATTTACAATAGCATAGACTTGGAACCAACCCAAATGCCTGTCAGTGATAGACTGGATAATGTGGTACATATACACCATGGAATGTAGCCATAAAAAAATGAGATTATGTCCTTTGCAGAGATGTAGATGAAGCTGGAAGCTATCATTCTCAGCAAACTAACACAGGAACAGAAAACCAAACACCGCATGTTCTTACTCAAAAAAAGCAAGATGACAAGTTGGTAGCCTGCTACATCAGTAATTACAATAATTATGAATGGACTAAATTCTCCAGTTTAAAAAAACATTGTCAGATTGTATTTTGGAAAAAAACAAACAACTAGAGTCTGTTAAAAGCGACATATTTTAAATATAAGGACACAGAAAGGTTGATATAAATGGGTGGGAGCTGAGCATAGTGATGCCCACCTGTGGTCCCACCTATGTGGGAGGCTAAGGTGGGAGCATTGCTTCAGCTCAGGATTGTTTGAGTCTACAATGAGCAATGAGCTGTGATTGTGTCACTGCATTCCAACCCGGGAGACAGAGTAAGACCTTGTCTAATAAAAAAAAAAAAAAAAGGCCAGGCGAGGTGGCTCACGTCTGTAATCCTAGCATTTTGGGAGGCCAAGGTGGGTGGATCACCTGAGGTCAGGAGTTCAAGACCAGCCTGGCCATCATGGTGAAACCCCGTCTTTTTTTTTTTTTTTTTTTTAATAATCAGCTGGTTCTATTTCACACACAAAAAAAAGAGGGTTAGGCACAGTGGATTATGGGATTTGAGGTTAGGAATTCGAGACCAGCCTGGCCAACATGGTGAAACCCCATCTCTTGAAAATACAAGAATTAGCTGGGCATGGTGGCACATGCCTGTAATCCCCACTACTCAGGAGGCTGAGGCAGGAGAATGGCTTGACCCCAGGAGGTGCAGGTTGCAGTGAGCCGAGATCATGTCACTGCACTCCATCCTGGGTGACAAGGCAAGACTTTGTCTCAAAAAAAAAAAAAAAGTACATCAGAAATAAA